CTTGAGCCCAGGAGTTGGAGGTTGCTGTGAGCTGTAATGCCATAGCACTCTACCCAGGGGGACAGCTTGAGGCTCTGTCTCAAAAAAAAAAAACACAAGCTCTTAACAATATCCTCATACTTCAAGGTGGTGTTCAAAATTTACCTCTTCCACAATATTTCTTGCTTTCCTTAGTCAGAAGTATCTTTTCTTGATCCTGTGGGTTTTGCATTTTTTAATACCTCATATCCTCTGCCTTGCAATGCGGTTACTTGTGAATGTCTCCTCTTTTGAATGGTAAAGGGTGGGAATATGTTTTCAATTATCTTTGTTCACTACTTCTCCTTCTTGGCTAACACAGAAAATGACCAACATTTCATAGATGATGAATTTCTAGCAACTTGACGCTCTTTCAATCTTCCATAATAAATCTTTGACACTTTGTGAAGGTAATCTAGCAGCTCACTATTATTTTCATTATCCACGCCAAGCACACCTCTTCATTGAGATTAATAAAATCATCTATGTCTGGAATGGTATCCTCACCTTATGACTCATCCCACTTGGTTTGAGCTTGGTAAATGAATCAATATCTGAATAAAACTGACTACTGTACACAGAGCTCTTTAGAACTCTCAGTGATCAAGTTGAGACTCACCTCCCAAAAGTAGGTCAGAACCTCTCCCCTTCCCCCATTCCTTAAACTTCTAACAGTGATGCTCCCACGCTCTCACTCCCACCTAGGAGAACTCAAGCTGTCAAATTACTTGCTGCGTATCTAGTGGCAGTGGAGACACAGCTAACCGGCTCGCGCTCTAGGTCACGGCCTCAACGTTACCCCTAAGAATCCCTTCGGGGTAGCATCCCTGCCCTGAGGCGTTGCTAACCTGTTAGCCTAGTCCCGTCCTCACCATTCCCTGCACCACTCCTTTTCTCTTCGCTCCCATGATGTCCCCGACAGGTGGGTTAGTTCAAGGACTCGAGGCAGGAGGGAGTACGCCGAAGGCAAAGGCACCGAGGGCTGAGGCGAGCACCTAGCGATTTTGCCTCAGGTCCCCGAGGAAGCGCGCAGGGCCTGGCGCAGAGTGGGGCCCACCAGGCGTGAGGGCGAGGGGTGGCTGGTCTCTCCCCACTCCTCGGGCTCGCTGACAGGAGGCGCTGTCGGAGCTCGAGAGGGTCCCGGAACGCAGCCTCTCACCCCTGTGCGGGTCAGGGCCCCAGACGACCGGCTGGCGACCGCCCTTAGCGGAACTATCCGAGATGCCGGCGAGATAACTGCTAAAAAAGGAGGCGCTTTGAGTGCCTCGGCCGAATAGGACAGGCGAGGGTCTGCCCGGCTCCACCGGCCCCTCACCTTCATGGCCGCAACAGTCTCGGCTCGGTCGGCTCTGCAGGAGACCTCAGCAACATACCAGCCCCACACTCAGCCGACCTCCTTCCGTCTGGGCAGCGATTAAGGGGCCTGCCGAGGCGACCCAGCGACCGGACGTAAGGGGCGTGGCCACGCTCGCCACGTGCCGCGGTAAAGCTCAGAGCGGCATCCAAGCCGACCAATCCAGAGCTGATATTCCGGGGGCCGGTCACCGGAGCCAATGAAGTGGCGGGAGTAGGGCAGGGCCTCTGGCGACGCCCGTGGGGCAGGGAAGGACTCCTTTCCGCCCTGAGTGGGGACGGGCGGGGGTGGGCGTGGCGGGAGAAGCTCTTGGGAGCGGCTTGCTGGGTTGAATGGCTGAAATAGGAGACAGCGTTCCCGGAGGAACCTGCTGCTACAGTGATGTGGTTTTCGGGGGTGGGTGGTCAAGTTTGCGGGGAGAAGAGGGTAGGAAGGGCCGTGGTGAATTAGAAAACGCCGGTTAGTTTGAAGGCTTTTGTTACAGTCGTTGGAGTAGGGCCTCGGACTTTCTCCCGTGAGGTCTCACGGCTCACATTCGGTAACGACCTCGGGGCTCCTCACTCCAGGGTGCGCACTAAGGAGAGGCAGCTGCATACGTTAGGTCGCTGTCTTTAAAAACAAATTTTATTGAAAACACTTGGAGAACCAACGTTCAATTCCCAAATGCTCTCTTAAGCAATGTTGAAAATAACCAAAATCCTAGCACAATAAAAGGATTCGTGTGATCCCTTGGAATTGACTTTTGGGGACAGAGAAACTGAGGTAAATTAAGATCGATTCCTTCAGCTAGATTGGATGACACTCGGTTGGTTTTGCTACACTTCTCTCACCTCTGACTCAAGCAGTCTGTAAGATTTTAAACAGATAAGATGTCAATTCGCTCTTCATGAGGTCATAAAACGTATCCTTTTTAGCAAATTTGCTTAAACAATACGTACTAAATTAGATTAAAATACACAAAAGACTAGGAACATTCCTTGGATTGAAGTAGTACATTAGCTTATATTTTTCTTGCTTCATGTGCTGCTTAGATAATGTAACATAACTTTTTTTTTTTGTAACATAACATTATTCAGAATAGTCCTGGGTTTTTTCTTTGGAAAAAAATGCATGGAAAGCCTTTCATTCACCATGTTGGGGCAGCAGCTGAGCTTCATTAAAAATGAAAGTATACATTAATTCTAGTGATCTGGGCACAAAGAAGCTCAATAAAAACATCCTAGAGGCACAAAGCCATCGTCCTTCCTCATTAGAAAGGACCTGGCAGGTCTACTTTGAGAGTTTATGAATAAGCACATGAAAAGATGCTCAACATCATTAGCCATCAGGGAATGGCAAATCAAAACCACAGATATCATTAAATACCAACAAGAATGGCTAAAATTAAAAGACAGAAAATAAGTGTTGGTGAGGATGTGAAGGATTTGGAATCTTCACATCCTAGTGCTGGCAATGTAAAATGTTTTGAAAATGTACAACAATTCTTCAAAAATGTTAAAACGTGAGTTGCCATATGACCCAGTTCCACTCCCAGGTAGGTATATTGCCAAGAGAAATATAAAAACACATGTTCACCAAAAAACTTCCACACTAATGTTCATCGTGGCATCATTATTATTATTATTATTTTGAGACAGAGTCTCACTTTATCACCCTCCGTGGTGTGCTACAGCATCACAGCTCACAGCAACCTCAAAAATCCTGGGCTTAAGGAATTTTCTGCCTCAGCCTCCACAGTAGCTGGGACTACAGGTGCCTGCCACAACACCCAGCTATTTTTAGAGAGGAGGTCTCACTCTGGCCCAGGCTGGTCTCCAACTCGTTAGCTCAGGCAACCCACCCACCTCAGCCTCCCAGAGTACTACGATTACAGGCATGAGCCTTGGCACATGGCCCATTGTGGCCTTATTTATAATAGTCAAAAAGTAGATAGAACCCATATGTCCATTATGGGGAGCAAATGAACAAAATGTGATAAGACCCAAAACATAATGAAGTCTTGATGCCTGCTACAACATAGATGATTTCAAAAACATTATGTTAAGGGAAAGAAGGCAGACACAAAAGATCACATATTATCTGATTCCATTTATGTGAAATATGTAGAATAGGCAAGTTCATAGAGACAGAAACTAGAGTAGTGGTTGATTTGGGTCCCTGAGGGAGCTGGCGGAAAAATTGAGTGAGTGCTAGAGGGCACAGAGTTTATTTTGGGGTCATGAAAAATGCTCTAAAATTAGCTATGGGAATGGTTACACAACTCCGTGAGTATACTAAAAACAATTGAATTGTACAACTTAGATGGGCAAGTTGTATGGTATTGTGAATTATATCTCAAAAGTTGTTAACCATACTAATATTGAGGAACACAAGACAGCTGAGGAGTGGCCACAGAAGGGCAATTAAAATAACCAGGAGTAAGGAGAAATTAAAGTATTGGGGAACATTTTAAAACAGCATGATATTCGGGAAGACTTTTTGTTCCCAGAAACAGATCTCTGCATAGCATAAAGCAAACTCCCAATAAATGTTTGAATGCATTCCTTTTTCTGAAGACTGAGAAGGAAAATATATTTTTTTAAGGAAAAAAACCACAATGGAGTAAACAAGGTACTTATGAGTTCACAATTCCTAACTATTTGAAGTTGGGATTTCTTGAAGCTTGAGAGACATTTGTGCTTAAGCATCACACTTTCTCAATAAAATAGATGCATTATGTGATCAAAATATTGTCTTTGTTTCTAACTTTATATAATCACACCCTTCTTTCAATTGAGTACTAATTGTACCAATTGTGATTCAGGAAATTTTGGTCTGTTAACTTATAACAACCTAATATTTTGTATTTCATAGACAAAAAAAGTAGGATTACCAAAACATATGGGACAATTTATTGGAACACACTTACCTAGAAGGATGTAGTGGAGCCATTGTCTGAGGGTTTTTGTTTTTTAATGCCTCAAAAAAACTTTTACTAAATTCACAATGTGCTAGAAGTCAATTAAATAATTTCAAAACAGGCCTTTTCTTTGTTGAGACAATCAGGGCCCATTCATTGTCTGTGGGCAATCTATCTTGCCCTGTAAACTGTATCTTGCTCTTGCTCTGTAAACCTATCTTTCTCTTCCTCAATAAACATTGTTTCATGTTTAAAAAATAATTTCAGAGCCTCTCCCTCCTTTCTCCACCCCCCTTTACAAAAAAGTAATTTCAAAATGTCTCTCAAGTTCAAGAAGAAACAACAGTTTCATTTTCTAAATTTTTGTAAGTTACTATATAATCCATTTCAACATCACATGTATTCATAAGACAATAGAGTAGAAGGCTTGCTGTTATTATTCTAGCAAGAATCTCTCAAAGATAAGTCATGTGGCTCAGCGCCTATAGCTTAACCGGCTAAGGTGCCAGCCATGTACACCTAAGGTGGCGGGTTCAAATCCAGCCCAGAGCCGCCAAACAACAATGATGGCTGCAACCAAAAAATAGCCAGGCGTTGTGGCGGGCGCCTGTGGTCCCAGCTACTTGGGAGGTGGAGGCAGGAGACTCGCTTGAGCCCAGGAGTTGGAGGTTGCTGTGAGCTGTAATGCCACAGCACTCTACCCAGGGGGACAGCTTGAGGCTCTGTCTCAAAAAAAAAAAAAAAAAAAAGATAAGTCATGGAAGGAAGATAGTATGAATCTTTTACAAAATTGGTTAGTGACTTGCTGTCCTATACCATTTCTTATTTGAGAAACTGCAAACATATATGAAATAGATAATATAATGAACCCTCACGTACCCATCACCCAGTTCTTACAACTGTCTACATTCTGCCATTCTTGTCTCATCTCCAGCACTTGCATCTCTCTACCCACGCCCCACCCACCACCCATCTGAGTTAAATTGCATCATTGGATTAGTGCAAAACTCTGGTTGCCTAGAAAAGAGACAGATCAAAGTATCTGAGAATCAGATCTGCTTTGCTATGTTTTTATTTGTCCTTGGTCACTTTCACAAATATAACAATTTTACCTACTCAAGGTAAATCCATCTTCTCTGTAACATTAATTTCATGGTTTAAAAGGCCAAAGGGACTCTCTAGCCATCCCTGCTTAACCTGAGTTCGCAAGTGCCAAAGTTATACTTAGATCATATAACATAATCACTGGTAGAAATGAGAAAGTATCTCCTCATTTGAATGCTTAAGCTAGCTCCTATCTGAATCCTGACTGACTGACTTTTGCTACAGTAAAAATGGTTCCAACAATACTTACTGCACTTCAGAGAACCATCTCTGCAGCTGGGGAACAGATGGCTTCACAGAATCATTTTGTTTTGGACTCATAGAATCTTTCTGGAATTCAGCCAGCAAATTACTTTGTTGACTTGAGCATGTAATCCTCTTCTGCCTTAAGTTTCTCCATCTGTAAAATGGAGATCATTATTAACTGGCAGCTTATGTCTTAAACTTTGCTAAATGGTTGACTAATCCTGCAAGTGAAACAGAAACAGAACTTTAAAGTGGTCTCCAGAGAAGAAGACAAATGATATCTGGCCAGTTCATATTTCTCTGCAGTTGGAGTACTTTACAGGATTTTTCTCCACTGATGATTGTCCTTAATAGACAGAAAGGGGACAGCGGTTTCTTTCCATGGCTTGGGAAACTGAGTGAGCTCTCTTGCCCTGAGGCTTAGTGAGGCAGTGATGAAAGCTAGAAGAGCTGCCAACTCCCCTGTCAGTATTATGCTCATCTGTATTACTGTTCTTCTAGTAAAGAGATGGATCTTGCAAAACAGGTTCATTCTTGTACAGTATTGGGAAATAATTCACCTACCACTGAAATATAAGGTCAATACACTTTTCCCCTGGAATTCATATATCATCCAATGCATAGTGAGCGCTTGCCAAGCACTGGAAAAAGGGACACATGTAAACTACTATGGTAAAAGAAAAATGTCAGAAGTGGTATATTGGTTTCCTAAGGCTGTTGTATCCAGTTACCACAAAACAAATTTAGTGGTAATTTTACAAACTTGGTGGCTTGAAATAACAGAAATGTATTCTCCACAGCTTTGAAGGCCAGA